ACGTGCGACCGGTGATGTTGACCGAGGCGCTACCGCGGTGCCTGCCAGGGCGAATAGCAAACCCCATGATGGCGGCGGTGGTGGCGGTGGAGATTGTTTCGGCCTATACACCACAGCAAAGGGCCGTGTCAATGACATCGTTGAAGTCGTGCGAAGCGTGAGAGAAAAGAATAGGGCGAGGAAGAAGCGAGAGAAGATGATGGCGGAGGTGCGGAGGAAGTATGAGGAGATGGCTAGTGCTACTACTAATCAGATGGGTGGGGAGGGAGGGTATAAGTGGTTGTAATTGGAGGTGTGATGGGGTTTACTATGTTGATATATCTATGTTATACTTTATCTAAAGTTGTGTGATGTTCATCCTTTCGCGTCTTTCGATTGTGATGATGGCCACACGAAGTTCTTCGCCTTGCCTTCTCGCAGGTCTTCAGCTGTAGGCGGGATGGTGGGCTGTCTTATAGGTCGCTCCCGCCCATCCGATGAGTGAGCTGAGGAAGACTTGGGTTGTGCCTGTGGTGTAAACGTTGCCGCGCAAGGGTTCAGAATCTGTGCGACTCTTGCTAGTAATTCTGGACTGAAACTGGGTTCTGCGTTGGGTGATGTCATAGTGAATGGCGGTGTAATGTCGAAAGCGCAAGAGATGTCTGGATGTACGGTAGTATTTCCAGAAGAATTGGTCTTACGGCAAAGGTGGGGGGAAACAGTTAGGGAAAGAAATACTTCATACTATGCTTTCAACGGTGGTTAGTGATTGTTGTGCGCGAAAGTGTCTGGTGACCCGAGCAAACAGGCAAATGTCTACTGTTCACAGCTCTTGTTCTAAACATGTCTCTAACGCTGTTGCAGAACGTAACTGAACAATGGATACATAGCCGAATGCGTTCTGATGTTCTTACATACCACGTAAATCTCCAATAGATGAACGCAGGCTAACACGTTCCAGGAGCGAGTCCAACCGAAACGATGTTTGTACATACAAACAATCGAGGCGTAGAAATCACCCGGGAAAAGGTTCTGCGAGCATTGAAATGCAGACTGCCAGGACACTGTTGGTGATACTTCGGCTTCATATGTACACCGAGTTTGTTACGAGGGCAAGCGCTTATTGTCGACACAAGAGCAGGGTGAACAAGGACCGATGCAACTCGGGGTAGATGGACGACTGCTAGCTTCTCGCATGCGTATGTGGATGACGACTTTCTCTCGTGTTGAAGGTGAAGTTTGGAAACGACAAGGACCGATGCAACTCGGGGTACATGAACCGCTAATAGCTTCTGGCAAGCGTAAGTAGGTGCCGGCTTTCTCGGATGTTGAAGTTCAACTTGATTTGAGACGGAAGTGGGACGCGAAAGAAAAGGTGGTTTGGCGATATGTAGTACGCATCGTCCGGTATATAATTAAAAATGTTCGTGTACAGCTAACAGTTCGACAACTGTCGTGCTCACCAAAGTCCCTAGCCTCCACCCTAAGGCTACATCTCCAAAAGAAGCATCGTCCAAAGGCCTCGTAGCGTCGTGTCAGAACCTGCTAGCACCGGGACCGGGTACGCCGACCAAACCTGCCAATTCCAGCGTCCGGCGCAATCCGAAGCGCTTCGTATAGACCGACAAGCGCATTCAGCCTATTTCGGGACACTTGTCGCGAAAGCTCGCCATTGTCCATCCCAAAGCAGAGCGAGTAGTCTCCGCAGACAGACCGCCTGAGCAGTGGCAGCGCCGTCGCAGCTCCGGTCGACCAACCTAGGACGCCGCCCTGCCAGCCGAACCCAATTTCGAGGACGTGGCTGACCGCCGATCATCGGCGCTAACGACGTTCTAGCGCCTTGGCAGATATGCAGTCGCGTGGCTAGGGTGAAGTGGCGGTGATAAGCGGCTGGGCTGGGCAAGAGACCCTGTTTTGTAGCTCTCAGGCGTGCCGTTGGTGATGCGCTTGATGGGCCTCTCAATCGTGGTAAGCTGTAGGATCGGCTGGGGAAGTATGCCTCGTTCGGCAGGTGACACTGGCCCCGGGTGTCACAGCGTCGGAAGCCAAGCGCAGCAACTCAAAACAAGCCAATGTAATCTGGCGCAATGACAGGATATCAGTCTTGTGTGAATAATATTGATTGTGTGAACTGGAGACTCGTATTGGGGTATCATCGCGTCGGAAGACCCAGATCGAAAGTGCGACGGTAAAATGAATCGGGGCGAAAACCACCCAGCCCGAACCGAACCAAAACCGAAAACATGATAACAAATGATTGCCCATCCCATATCTGGAAAACGCCTTGGTAATGCAACGCTATGCTATGCGATAAGCCCTTTCCTCTTTCTTCGTAAACGTATTGTCTTTGCTTTGCCAGTAGAGCAAGCCGTTGCTATTGTAGTATGACATTCTCTTCCTGCTGGTATACGACGCCACTCGTGTTCTGCGCGAAGATCTTTTGTATCGGGAGCGTGAGTGCGTTCATGATGTTCTCGCGAAAGTCCATCTTGACGTTGCTCTTCTCGAACCAGTAGTGGCGGATGAGCTTGCCCTGGCAGTTGCTGACTTCGACACCGGGGAAGCCATTGGCCTCTCCACACTCAAGCTCCTTGATGTATTGCTCGTAGTCGTAGCGGATGTACTCGCCGAAAGCGGATTGCTCGTGGAAGCGGGGTTGCTTCCATTGCGAGCAGTTTGCGTAGCGGGTGTCGTCGGGGCACTCGTGCCATGCCTTGAGAATGGGCAGGGTTTGCTCGTTGTTCTGGACAATCATGAAACCAGTGTTGGTGTAGGTGCGGTTGAAGCGGTCGGAGTTGTACTGGGGCTCTTTCGCGCTCCAAGGGTCTTTGGCCATGACGAAGGAGTGGTGCGGCTTTACGTCCCAGTGGTTGAGCATCCATTCGACGGGGACGTGCAGGAAGCGGAAAGCAGCATCGGCGTCGAGGAAGATGATGAACTTGTAGTCCTTGATGTGGTTTGCAAGTGCAGAGGGCTTGATCCAGGTAGCGTGTCGGTCTTCGAATTCGCGGGCTTGGACGAACTTGTAATCGTAGCCGTGGACAAGCGCATACGTGTAGTGGTTGAAGATGCCGCCAGAAACGTGGTTGATGTTGCGCCAGTCATATTCGCCCCGTTCGTACTCCTCAGTAGACTTGAGAGGGCGGGTCTCCAGATCTAGAATCAGGACGTCGCTGCCTAGGTTCTTCTTGTAGCGCGGGTTCGGTGGCAACGTGATGTGGCTGCCATTTGGTTCGCGAATGAAGGGCTCAGTCGGTGACACCTTCAGGTTCTGGTACAGTAGCTTAATGACATCGCCAATGGTCGAGTCGGTCTGCGCGCTGGCCGCTGCTCTGTAGGGTCTGTTAGCTTCTGCCGGAAAAGCATTGATTAGGCCATGGCCCTTCCATCCCAGGAACCATGAATTGGCAGCACGTACAAGTTGGACTGGCCATGTGGGAAAGTCACCCGGGGTGGACTCTGCCAAGCCATGAAGGCGAAGATGAATACCAGGACACAGCCAGCGCTCACCGAGAGCGCCAGCAACGGGCTCCGACCTCCGGTCGACGGTAGCATCATCTTGGGCGGCGTAGATCCAGGAACGGGGGTAGATCCAAACGAGCGACGCGAAGAGTGCAGACGAAGATGTTACGATGGCGATAGGGGGTGCAGCGTGCTGTGGCAGGGCGTCGGGGGATCAGCACATTTTAAAAGACGACAGACCCGCCAGCTCGTCAGCACCAGCCAAGACGCGCAGGAGGTGGCATGGGGCGCTGGGGGCCGGCGAGATTACGCTTGGCAGGCCCTTCAGCCTTTTGCGGTGTCCCTGCAGCCAGACGCCCCCGAACCTGGATCCACTGGCGGTGCTAAAGTGGCTTCTGGATCCCGTCTTGGGGCAAATCAGATGCTGGCCCGCTGCTGAGCCGTGAATCTTTCCAAATGGTGTTGATGCACGGTTCCTGCCGCGCTGGTAAACGGCTGGCACGGCATCACAGTGCAGTTGGCGGTCATGTGCCGTTGTGGCTGACAGCGCATCAATATAGACAAAGTCGAAGCTGTTGATATTTTCCGAGGAACAGAGGACAGCTGTTGTTGTACGTGTTGGGCTCGAGGCCATTTCCAGTGCGACCGGACGAGCGAAGATGGTGGCAAAGGGTCCAAATTGGGGCGACGCCTACCAGAAACTGGTAATCTCCCCGCCTGGCTACCCGCCCCACTCGACATCTCCATCCCGCCTCCTGACATCTTCGCTGTTCCCGATAAGCCAACGCCTCCTTTCCAACATGCAGAACCACCCCGCATCCGACGCCGCTGTCTGTTGCTGTCTGAAACGAACCTGTGTCCACTGCAGCGAACGCCGTGTTTCCTGGGCGGTGCCACAATATGCGGCTGCTGACTGGGCGTTCCGCAGGTCCGTGGAGCAATCAAACGTTCGACATTGTCAGCGTCAATGCAATAAGCTCGGTGATTACTACACCTATGGGGCTACGATGGATAGCCTAGGTATCACTACAGGCCCTGATCAGTGATCATCACTGGGGCCGATGTCTATTTCTTACATTCTTGTCGTCAGCCTGCTGTGTGGCGTCGTCGACTTGTCAAACCTCGAGTACGCGACACAACTCTGACTCTCGGTAACTAGCTGCACGGGTGTTCTTAACTTAAAACCGACTTCGTGACGTTGTCTTATAGACCTGATGCGGTGTAGCCTGGTCCGCATTGTATGCATGCAAACGCCAACCGATACTCAGGTCTACAGGAACTGGATGCCTGATCTGCCACTCGGGTTTTACCCACCCTAGCGCAGTGCTTGAATGGACGTCGGAGAACTGATTCTCTTGTAGCATGGTTCTCTCTAGAAGTCTTGTTATTGTTGTTATTTGGCTGACAGTTTCCTTCTTGCGTCCGCTTTCTCGCCCATTCTCTTTGAGACGAAGCAAACTTCTCTCTCCGCTCAGTATGTATATCGGTTTGTGCCACCACTTTCATTCTCGACCCATCACACCATAAGCCATACAACTAGGTCACAGCTACCATACACAATGACAGAAGTAGGCCACCACCAGATCGAACAGTCGTCAACTCCAGGCATTCCTTTGCCACCACAACCTTCCGCGCCGACGAAGTCTGATCCTATCGACACCAGCAGCCAACAAAGTGAACATAGAGAGATCCAGGCCCCTCCTGTCGACGACAGACACGATCGCGAGGCACGACGCGAAAGCATACCGACCCCAGAAGACAACAATCCTGGCAAAGATACCCCTACACTACTACGCATGGCCATGTTTACCGCAATGGCAGTCTGGGTCATACTCGCGTGCTACGAGGGCATTTCACACATTCCCGGTGCTCATCCCATCACCGCCGCGCTCGCCACGGTCTTGATCTGTACCGCAATCACTTCGTTGCAGCCCTCCTTCCTTCGCAGCTTCATCTGCATCATATTCTACGCTCTCGGCTCCCTAGCAACAGTCATCCAGACAGCGGTCCATGAGGGTTTTGCCCATGGCTCAGAGAGTCACTCTAGATCCTCCTCACGCCAACGTAGTTCTGGCAGCTCATCACCAAAACCAAAGCCCGCGGTCCCAAAGAAGAGTAGCCGTATCAGTAATATGAAGATTTAGCTCACCACTTCCACGCTCCTCTGGTCCTTGCATGCTTGGAGACGCGGCGAATAGAATGCCAGTAGTAGAAGAGCCTCCTATGGAAGAATATTTTGACCCTGCTCCATGATGAGATATACGGGCAGAGGCACGAGAGATAAGAGCGCAGCGGCAAGTACTTTTTGAGTCCATTCCTCGTCTTCACCCTTGTCTACTACGGTAAATGCGGTAGACGTAGGCTGTAGAATATGCTTGTATACACAGTCGGTCAACATAGAGAGTTCATCATAAAGTATCAACACAATCTTGCTTCGCAAAATCGTGTTTCAAGACCTGTTTGTGAATTGCTAACTACAACGTATAGCTCTGTAATCTTATGACTTTGACATCTACCAGGCCGCTCACTCGATATAGTGCTGAGTGCTTCGAGAAGACGCGAAGATAAGCCAAGCTACACTCTTTACCCGGACGCCCATGTGCGGTCCCGCCAAGCGCACGCACTATACTCTCGTGTTGGTGGCACAGATGCGGCGCATACATGTTTACACAACCACCACCATCTGTCTTGTACATTCTCATGCTTCTACTTCGTCCCCTCGACGTTTCCTTCCCACTGATCGTGCCGCTATCGCATCATCATGCGCCGCCACATCCAACATCCATCGATCTTGCTGTGCCTCCTAGGCGCATGTACTGGACTCCAAACGGAAGAACCACCGGCTACAGTTCAGTTCGACCTCGTCTTTCCCCCGCCTCACTCTTTAATCGAACCCTACTACCCCTCGCCTGTCATATTCGCAGTTCACAACTTCTCCGCTATCGGCCAAAACACTTTCTTCTGGAGCTGGAACATCACTGATGAGTATGAAACTGGAGAAATTAGGCCACGCAACATTATTGCCTCCGGTAAAAGCCGACCCGACACCATTGGGGTAGAGCCCTCCCCTGATGTTTTGCTCATAATCGAGCCTGTTTCGTTATTATGGAACAGTACTGTGGAGTTTTCCCGTTCGAGTTACACATTCGGTCTGACGTACGCCTGTGGCAATACGACTGGCCTACCGCCAGACAGCCTGAATACCACTGTGCGATTTGAGGGAGAGACTATGTTTGGGCTATTGGGAAACTACTCAGACGAAGACAATGAGTATTTATACCTCGCAAGGAAGGGGCGCTGCGGCAGGCCGATCGGGTCTGTTGGAGTTCAGAAGCGGCCCGAGGGCAAGTCGGAGCAAGACTGTCAGGTTCTCAACCCTGGCGTACAGCCTACGAAAACTTGTGCGCTACCCATCGATGCAAAGGTGACGAGATGGGCGGAGGCCGTGAAGAACATAGCAGCTAGGTGTCCTAATAGCACTTGGCCCGATACCATTGGGCTCATGGGTAATTGTGTATCGAATGGGGTTGGGAAAGATGATGTGACGGCTGGTCGTACGTCTCTATTTGTTGGATTACTCTACTGTCTATCAGAGATAATGTACTGGTTGTAACAGTGATTCAAGCTACACATTGCGAAGGTTTACTTGGGGGGTTGCGGCTTACAACGTGAATCAAGAGCTCTGGACGTTGGCGAATGTCTTCTGGAGGAACCAAAGCTTGTGTTTGATCTTCTCGTATTACTTTGAGATAAGCATTAGTACTACCTTTGGTTCCTGACAAAGCACTGTGGGCGAAGTGCCTGCTTAGTACCTTTGTGCCACTACCGCCACTGATGCTGGTGGCACCTCGGATATGACCGTGGAAACAAAGTAAGCAAATTCTGATCTCGTTCTTGATAGCAATACGCATGTAGTCCAAGTAAAGCACATGCAAAAGCTCAACACGCAACACCGCGACCCACTAGCCCCCCTCGCGTTAGCCCCACAACCCCAACGCGTAATGACAGCAACCCCAGCGTTTGCAAACCCTGTATCAACAGAAGTCCAAGTTTCTTCCCTCGCTCTCCCTCTCATCCCTTTAACCATCGGCATTTCGTGACACTACCATCCTCACCACACTGTCCATCATGTTACCCGCAGCCGAGATCTTATCTCTCTCACTCAAGCTCCGCGCGTGAATGCATCTATGCATACACCTCGATCCCCTACTGATAATCGCCGCAGCATAACCCGCGCAAACCGGCAGCACGTCGTCCGTTTCCAGGCCGAGCAGCTCGCACTCCACATTACCTACAAAGATGAAATGGCTATAACCACCTCACCCCCACGAGCTGCGCTTCGAGCTCGGCGCTACCGCAACGAACATCACAATCGCGGTGCAGAGAAAATAGGAGCGTTCATTGCGGAGGCGATTCAGCTGTGTCCCCCAATCATCCACAACCTAACCGCGCTCATGCACGCCAAGCTACCACGCGAGCTCCACGACATGATCTACTCGCTCTTCTGGGCGGAACTAGAGCCCTGGCGTATCCGGTGGATATGGTGTGCAGCTCCTGGGTCCTCATCCTCATCCTCCTCCTCCTCCTCCAATCGCAACCACGATGAAGAAGCATATAGTCCAATGTTGGTTTCCGGGTTCGAGGAACAGCGCCGCGATGTCAAGGTTTATGAGTCGGATAAGACGTTCTTCAACGAGGTGTATTTCAACAAGGAGATTCTGTTTGAGTTGGCTGAGGATTGATATTACAAGTTTGGGCTGTTTGTGCCGGATCGGGAGCATCTTGAGTCGTTTTTGGTGCATGGTGGGGTTATGAGTGTGGTGTAGCATGTGACGTGTGAGCCCGGACATACGCTAGACGGCGACGTAGATTTAAGTATGTAAGAATGTATTGATGATAGGGTATCGAGCAAGTGATATATACAAGAAGAGGTCATGTCTACGAAATAAAGTGATGCAAAAAGAATGTAAAAGCCCATGTGGGGGATGAGTGCACATCTGCGAAACAGGCCAGAAGTCTACATTACCTTCGTGATCGCGTACTTTTTGTTTTCATACCGATGTAGACTGCAGGGCATCTATTCGGTTTCTTTTTCAAACGAGGTTGTACGGAACGCTGCTTAGTGATCGCTCTAATTTTGCTGCCCTAGATCTTCGCCAAGCTGTGGAGACCATGGGTATAGATCCAGGAATGAGATGTTATCCTCTTGACTGTGGACGAAGCTTTCATCAGACCTTGGAAGAGTCTGGTGATGATACCCGGAAAATGATCCTTGCGCAGATGGAATGTCCTGATGTGTGTTGTAAGGTGATGCTGCGGAATGTAGCGATATTGAATAGAAGGAGAAAGGCGACGCTAGAGGACTGTGATGGGTTTGATCCGCTGGACCGTGGATGAAGGTAGGTCCGGTGTATAGGTGTGTTGAAGGAAAGTACGATGAAGAGGCGGTGTCGAACGGTTGGTTGCTCGGTAGGGTACTCGGATCCGTCGACCCAAGATTGCCGCTTACATTTACCGGCGAAAGTGGGTGCCCGAAATCATGGGCAGGGCGAAGAGGATACAAATGCTGAGGCGATGGCCAGCCTTCTTGTCGGACGGCATTGTATGGCGCAAGATTCTGTTGGCCGAACTGGAAGGGCCACACAGTTTGGTGGAGTGGTGCCGCTTCTACGGCTTGCTGAAGATCATTATGAAGTTCCTGAAAGGCTTGGTCCTCGCCTGCTGCAGGATCGTACGATTGGGATGGTATCGAGAGCCCATTTCCAGCGCCCCTGATATTGAAAAAGTCGTGTGCGAGTGAACCCTCACCTGGTGCTTGCTGTATGTCGGGTAGAGTATACGAGGCCTGGGTTGGATGTGCTGCAGGTGCATGGTTTTGAGGGGTCTGCGGTGCCGAGCCGAGCTTGGTTGGGGTAGGCCTCTTGGCTGGTCGGCGACGGGGCGTGGGTTTGGCTTTAGTCTCGCGCGACGGAGTTGTAGCAGTGTCCGTTTTTTTCTTCTTTCTCTTGACGGGATCGGGGTGTAGGCCCGGCTGGCACTTGCGCTCGTGCTTCAACAGGGCATCATTGCGAGTACACACGACCTTGCACTTCTTGCACATCAAAGGGCTCTCGTTGGCCGATGGATGTTGGGTCCGTATGTGTCGTGCGAGGTTGTTCGTCATGTCGTCACCAGTGAACGGCACATTGCACTGTCTGCACCGAACCTCATCAGGGGACGATGGTGGCGGCGCAGGCGTGGGAGAGATCAGATGCCCATGTGCTTTTGTATCGACCAGCTGTTGACCATGTCGAGGGCTGGCTGACGGCAGGCGGTTGGTCAAGCCTCCTGTGAATTGTAGCGGTAGAGCGCGGCCAAGATCTGCGTGCGCGTGTGAGGTGGGAGGGACGTCGTTGGCTTGATGTTCGGAAGGCGGAGTGCTGTCGAGCTGGGTGGGAAGTTAGACATATACGCGCAAAGAACAAGAGAATAGCTTACACGAGTACCATGTTGCGACCAAGGATTGGGGTGAGGTGCCGTGACACGATGCGACCCTACGTCAGTGACACTGTAGGCCGACTCGCCGGAGCGCAAGGAACGGTCGAGGGGTTCATCATGGTTGGGGTATATCGGCGCCGACATGCTGAGATGTTGCCCTCCCTCTAATCCTGTATGAGGTGGGACGAAGGGTGGGTGAACCACCCAAGGTTGTCAGCGGAGGGTGTGAAGGTATGTGTCGCGGGTTGGTCCAATGCGATCTGGTCGAGGCGCATCATCGGTGGGTGAAACAAACGTCCGGAGGAGGGCTGGGGCAGCAGACTTTATGCATGGAAAGGTGCTGCGAAGCCGTGAACGAAGACAGTCCCAACGGCAGCCAATGTGGTGCGCCTCCAGCCCGTAAGTGTGTAATTGCTCCTTTGCTCGTCCTCCCACGCTGCATTGTCGTCACAAGAAGGCTAGCCGGTGCCCCGTGCGGGGACTGATGTATGAGGGGAGAATTCGTAGGGCCAGCCTAGGGGAAGGATGCCGGAAGGATGCCGAGAGCTTTGGAGCTTAGATCGTGACTAGGATGACCTCGCAGGGTGAAGCAATAAGGAAGGCCAATCTGATGTCGCGCGTTGCGATCTCGTAGAAGGAGGAACGGGGCGAGTGCGCAGCCATGCAGGAGCTTAGCAATTCAGCAACTGGGGAAAATGCGATTTGTACGTCACAGGGAATTGTCGCAGCGGATGTGGTACCAAGAGCGCAAGCCACTCAGGCTAGTATGCTTTAAGTCGAGGCGGTGCACAGCAAGGCAACCACCAAGCATGGAAGCATAGAAGCTTTTTGCGCCTCAGATCTCATTTCCGCTCGCCGCACTGCAGAGGCACGATAGATGCAGCAGGGAGTGATGAGAGGATCCATAATGGTATGGACGCGTCTCCACCGCGAGCACGGGAGTGCCTGGCGTCACCGCGAGCGGGGTGTGCAGTGCACAGACCGCGATAGAGGCCCCCGTGGACCTATCGTGATCGCAAGCGGGAGGCGGAGCAGCGAAGGATAGTGGCAAATTTTCAGAATGCGCGCATCTGTTTGGTGTTATGGGAAGCTCTTTGCGCCCAGGCTGGGGGACTCTTACCAAAGCTTCTTGGGTGGTGTGGAGCGTGTAATCTCCATCAACTGCTGTCCTGCGCACGCCAGCCAGCTTGGCATCGTGGCTTCGCTCATGAAAATTTTCTGAACATGAAACAATGCCCGAACGAAGGTCGAGACGCGTCCTTCGTAAACATGCTGGCGAAGGACGGGTAATTCATCTTGTTCGATGGGTGACGTAGGTGGGGGAGGGGTACCGACTCCGTGACGCTCGAAGACGGCGCTTACGGCTATCTCAACAATCTTCGGATAAGATCTTGGCTTCGTACGTGGCACGCTCAACGCAGTGTCAAAGCGTAGCGCACGCTGCATGCAGTCAGCAACGTGAAACGGGTTCTGGCCAGAGTTCGTGCGATGTGATGATGCATGGAGCTACAGCTTCCCCTTAGTTGCACTGTGACCTGTCAGGGCAAGGTACCACTTGACACCGCACATGTCGATCCCGTCGTTCCCACAAACGCCCGCCTGTCGGGCCCTCTCCAGTATTGCATCATATTTATCCTGACCCTTGACGCCGATCGTGATCGACACAAGGCCCTCTGGATGCCCTTGACGCCCTGGAACGAAACCCAGCCTGGCGTTCGTAAAGGCCAACAGGTCGCGGCTTCGCACAACGCCAAATATCGCTTCCCACTCTCGTGCGGCCGCTTCGTGGCCAAGGTCGCCGGGCTGCAGACGTAGTACACAGCCCTCTAGCGTAAGGTGTTCGGTCCGCTCCATGCCGGCCCTATAGCGGTCGATGTCTGAACCGCAAGCATGCCATGGAGAGAAGCGAGACTGGACAGGCGTAGGATTCTTCGGACCTGGTACGTGGGAGTCGAGTTCTGGCATCATGCCGCCTGTCACCTCGTTAGCCGTATACCCTTGCGATTGGTAGGTGCCTAGCGTACCTTTGATGCCCTTTGGATGGTACTGAATACACACTGAATCCGCGTAACTATGCTCAAAGATGACTTTGGACAGTCCCTTCGCTTCGATGTATTCGCGTCGCTTTTTCGCGTCTTCGGTCTGCATGATGATCATGTATCCGCCGTCACCGCGCTTCTCGATCAGCCGTCCGGCAGTCGTCCCTGGCTTAATGGGCGAGACCACCTCGATGAAGTCGCCGCCGATTGGTACTACAGTCATGTTAGTCGCTGAAGCTAGGAAGAGACGATGAACGTACTGAGGAAGTTCTTCAACCCCCATTGCTCGACAGCTGGATCCTTGAAGACGACTTCTGTTCCTAGAACGTATGTCTGGCATCTCTGTCAGTTCTCGGTCTGTCGACCTTAACATCGTCGGCCTACAAGCTGCTGCTTCGCGCGTTCGATATCCTTCGCGACAAGTGCGACCTGGCGTAGACGCGTTGGGGCCGGAGCAAGAGCCATGTCTGCTTGGATGTTCTTCCAAGGATATCGGATCTAATGGATAGAGAGAAATGATGAGATTGGGACGCGTAATGCCTCACCGACGCTTACTCGAGCTCAGCGGCTCAGCGGCGAGTAGCTTCTTCCCCGCATCAGCAGCCGCGGCATTTCCTATTACGGAAGCTACAACGTTAGTGTACTAGGTTAGTAGAGCATCAATTGGGATCAATGAGAAGATGGATGACATCGCAGGTATCGACCGAGATACGTATCTGGAGCGGTGTCGTGACGTCGTCAGGGCGTGTTGTTGCGATGTTTCATCGCGACTGCCATCTGGTCGGGCCGAAGTGCCGAAGCACCGATGCTCTCGTCCGATCTCCAACGCGCCTTCCAACAACACAACAACAACCTTCTTTTCACTTCCGCCGCTGATGCGCATCGACATTCACAAGCGACTTCATCTAGTTATCACGACGAACGAATGGCCCAATTTCGCTCCTTCCTTCGTACGCCTCTCGCGTACACCATCTACAACACAGAGATGGTTGGGCTCCAATGAGTTGTTTGCAAGTCTACACCGTAGCCTGGAGGTACACAAAACCCTTCGATCGATTCTATATCGGAAGGAGCTTTTTGTGAATATCTCCAGACTACGTTTGACGGTGCGTTATGAAAAGCAGCTTCTTCGCATACGTGGGTTTGTTTACTCACCGAGTGACACATCTCTTACTTTCCGGACAGTGATAAGCAGTCACCGGGTTTCTGGAAAGCTTGTCTGACAT